GCTTACACCCCGCGCGTACAGCCGTCACCGACGCTGCTGGGAGCGTGTCGTATGCTCAACTAGCAGACCGGACGAACCATTTGGCACACCGGTTGAAGGAGGCCGGCGTTCGCGCGCGCAATGTCGCCGTCTTGTGCGAGCCGTCGATCGATGGTATCGTCGCCATGCTCGCTACCCTCGAAGCTGGAGCCGTCTACGTTCCCCTCGACGTCAGCCTGCCCGCCTCCCGTCACGCAGACATGCTCCGGCTTTGCGAGCCCGCGCTCGTGCTCTTCCACAGTCAGACGTTCAAGCGTGTAAACGCCTTGGTAGATGACTTTGTCGGAGAGCAGCACATGCGAGTCCTTCAAGTGGACGTGGACCACATCCAAAAAGACCCCAATGCTCATGGCGATCTTGATGACTCCAACAAGATATCACCGGCATTCCTCCTTTTCACAAGCGGCTCAACAGGCACCCCCAACGGTGTCCACTTAACTCAACCCAACTTTGCAAATCACATCGCCCTCAAAGCGCAAACCTTCTCCCTGACTCACAACGACTGCGTCCTCCAACAGAGCTCCCTGGGCTTCGATATGGCCCTCGTCCAGACCTTTTCCGCCCTCACCAACGGAGGCCGCCTCGTCATCGCGCCCGCTGATTCCCGCCGCGATCCCGTTGCCATAGCGGCGCTCTTAAAGCACGAGGCCATATCCATGACCATCGCCACGCCGACCGAGTACCTCGCCTGGATCCACGCCGCCGCCGACGTCTTAGCCCATGACAACGACGACAATAAGACTGCCTGGCGGTTGGCCTTCTCGGGCGGGGAACAGATTCCCCCCCGTCTGCTGACTGAACTCGGCCGTCTCGGGATCCCGGGCCTCCAACTGACGAATTGCTACGGACCAACAGAGATCTCAGCAGCAGCAACCTTTCAACCTATCTCACTCGACAACGGCAACGACCCGTTGTCAGCTTCCTGCGTAGCATCACCCTCCGCACCCTCAGCCATCTGGAGACCCTTCGCCGTAGGCAGAGCCCTGCCAAATTATACCGTCATCATCGTCGACCCTATCACCACCAGCACTACCCCACAGCCCCTACCGCTAGGACAAACAGGCGAGATCTGCATCGGCGGAGCGGGCGTGGCGCTGGGATACCTCAACAGGCCAGACCTCACGCACTCGCGTTTCCTTAAAAACGTACCGGGGATGGGCAAGGGCACGTTATACCGCACTGGCGATAAAGGCCGCCTCCTCTCCGATGGGACGCTCCTCTGTCTAGGCCGGCTCGACGGCGACACGCAGATCAAGCTGCGCGGGCAGAGGGTTGATTTGCAGGAGATTGAGGCCGCCGTGCTTCGAGCTTCTGAGGGTATCCTTGCGTCTGTCGTGGTATCTCGGCGCCGTCTGGATGGTGCTGATGCTGGGGGTGTTGGTGAAGATGATATCCTCGTAGCTCATGCCACGCTCGTCGAAGACGGGGATCGCACCACCGAGCAAGACGATAACGACACCTCTTCCTCTTCCTCCATCCTCTCTCGTGTGAAGTTGCCGCAAGCCTTTATCCCCACAGCAATCTACATGCTCAAGACGCTGCCAACGACACCGAACGGCAAACTAGACCGCAGGGCCATCGCCCGTCTCCCTCTGCCTGAAAGAATGAGGCCTAGCCCCCTCGGATCCGACTTGAATACAATAAACACCGACGCACCTGAGCAGAATGAAGGAGAGAAACTTACCGTTCGCCAAGGCGAGCTTCGTCTTCTCTGGGAGCGTGTCCTCCCTTCCCTGAGCGAGAAGCGTATCGGCCCGTCATCCGACTTCTTCCTCTGCGGCGGTAACTCGCTGCTGCTGATGAAGCTCCAAAAGGCAATCAAGGAGACCACGGGCGTGGGGATCAGCACGAAGCAGATGTACGAGGCCACCACGCTGCGCGCCATGACGCGTGCCGTCTTTGAGGATTCCGCGGCGGCGGAGGAGAATGTCCGGATAGACTGGAATACTGAGACGGCTGTTCCGAAATGGTTGAGGGAGGAGATTGAGACGATTAAGGTGACGGCCGCATCCGCCGCTGATGCCGCCGCTGTGAAGAAGGACAAGACTGAGGCCGGCATCGAAGTTCTCCTGACAGGAGCATCTTCTTTCCCGGGAAGCCACATCCTCACAGCCCTCCTCAACCACCCGTCCGTCTGCAAAGTCCACTGCATCGCCGTCCCCTCCGACTATCACCAACCCCTTTCTTCCTCATCCTCTGCCTCCGTCGCCGAGGTAGTCTACTACACAGGCACCCTCCTCTCCAAAACCCTAGGCCTTACCTCCACCGAACGAGAACACCTCTCCAAAACCGTACACATCATCGTCCATGCAGCCGCCCACGGTCACTGCCTCAACCGCTTCGCCACTCTCCGCCGCCCAAACCTCGAGTCCCTACACTCTCTCGCCTCCCTGTCCCTGGCATCAGCTTCCCCTCGCAGAAGAGCAATCCCAATTCTCTACCTCTCGAGCCCGCGCACCCTCCTCCTAGCAGGCAAAATTGAAACCCCCAGGTCCCCATCATCCTTGCGAGATTTCCCTCCGCCAGCCGTCGACGGGTCGGACGGGTATACGGCGAGTAAGTGGGCAGGTGAAGTGTTCTTGGAGAACCTGGTCAACCACCTCAAAGAGCGTGATCACAACGCCGAAGCTGGGGTAGGCGGACAACCAGGACCTAACCCCCTCGGCTTCAAGATCGCAATCCATAGGTCCTGTACCCTTGTGAGCCCTCAAGCACCCAACTCGGACGCAATGAACGGCATCCTACGCTACTCCCTCGCCATGCGCTGCGTACCTCGCCTCCGGCGCGCAGAAGGGTTCCTAGACTTTGCGCCGCTCGGCGATGTCGTGGGACAAATCGCCGCCGCCGCCGTCGAGTTGGCAGCTCTTCCAGATACCTCTACATCAACAACAGAGGCTTCAGCGGCAAACTCGTCGCAGTCATCATCGTCATCTGTCCACTTCCGCCACCACTCGGGCGGCATCAAGACCCCTTTCTCACAATTCCGCACACACCTGGAGACCGTCTACGGTGGTGCGTTTGACGAGGTTGACATGCAAGAATGGCTCGTCCGTGCTTCGCGACAGGGTCTGGACCCGCTTATCACTGCGTACATTGAGGCCCTGCTTGAGAGCGGGATGCCGCTGGTGTCGCCGTATCTCGGAACAGATTTGGAGTAGATTGAGGTGTAAGAAGATGTTGGGTGCTAGATGAGCTTCTATTGCTTCGTTGTGCTAGTATCTATGATATCGTGGGGGAAATGTCAACTAGAGGTGTGAACAGTACTCTAGTTTCTCGTTGTGTTTTGTAGATCCGATTCACAATTATGTATTGATGCTCTGTAACTTTGCTTTCCCATACGCCCTACGAGTTTCTAAATTTCGTTCATGTTCAGAAATCGACACTAATAATACCAGATCATTGACCGAATGCAGAACCTATGGCTGCCGCTAACTTATTGCTCGAGAAACATGCCAAAGTGAAGAAAGAAACGACAGAAACAAGACCAGCTGTGAAAAAGGGAGTGCATTCAGCCCCTCATACCCGAACTAAAAGAAACCAGTTTTGCCATCACCTCTCCGGGTGTGTTAAAATCGCAGTGAATAAATTTCCCCAGCCTCCTGTATTAGTAGTGGAATTCCGATTGGCTGGATTCTCACTGGTCCAACCAATCTTCTTGACATTGACGACTTACAACTATTCAAGCAGGCCGTCACCGAATCCGACCTATTATTTTTTTCTTTCACATTGATCAAATATCATTGAGGAAAGCGGTGGGCTCGCCGAGTTAGTATATGACGGATCTGCCGCTCATGCCAAGTCCTCCTGCAAGACATTACTACAAAGGGAAGTCAGAAGTATCGCGGGGCACAGCTGAAGCCGCCAAGCCATGGAGCGAGCAGTTTTTGAGTTGCCCAGTACATTTTCTCTGGATTTTGGCTTCCTTAGGGCTATTTTACTACGTCTGTTGAAGGTCAAAAGAGTTATGGAAGCCACAGGGTTCTCACTTACCTTGAGCTGGCAAGGTGAGGTGACTGATCATCTTCTTTCCCAAGCCATCAGGTAGGTATGCAACGTTCGGACGATGGAACTACTCCGATAGGAAGAAAAAATCAAGCGACAGTGAGACAACTCTGATAATCGCCCGAAAGGTATGGTTCGACGGGAGGGACCGCGACTAGCTTCCATCCGATGTTACATTATTCTCCGAATGCACGCCTACGGCTTACAGCCAAGTTCTTGGTTCAATCGTTTCGGACAGTATAGAGACATATAACGCGGGTCATAGGGATCCTAAGTTGGACTGATTAAAACTGGCTAAATTGCTAATCATCACTATCCTCTTCGTAAAAGTGAGACATCTTTTCTGACGTGAGGCGGGCATATGTCTATCCACTTCCTTGCAGAATTCTAGGACCAAGGGGCATTACATGCCACACCCTACCGTGTCTCTCTTCTCACAATTGATTAGGTATTTGGAAACCTTGATAATGCTGAGGAGGAACTCGAGACCTTGTTGAAAGACAAGTCTACTCTCGTGCCAATGGAAACTTACAGAATATCACAGGTATTCAGGGCGTGAGGTATAAGTCATAACGACATGGATTTGCCTCTTTAGATGAAGTAAAATTCAAAATCACAGACATCAGAAGACATCTAGGGCTTACTGTCAATCCATCTTGGGAGCCGATGGGATGCGAGTCTCCGGTGTGCTCGCTCTGTGTGGCCAGACAGTGTGAGGGGATCAAGCGAAGCATTCGCTGCCTGCGTGGCTAAGTAAGAAGACAATGATTCTATGAAATGAGTCTCGTTCATAGAGTACTGAAAATCTATAAAAGGTCCATTCCGCTCCGAGTTATGACCCCGTGGTATCCTCTTCATCCTCAACCATCAAGACCAAGCAAGCAAATCACCACATCCTCACCCCATCCAACTCTCACCACCTTCACTTCCACCTCCTGAATCTCTTTCCCACTCTCACAATGCACTTCTTCAAGCTCATCACCACCCTCGCCGCCGCCGTCTCGGTCTCGGCCATCGACATCCAGAAACACTTTGGCCAAAACTGCGGCGGCAACTTCCGCGTCTGCAGAGGTATCAACCCGAACATATGCTGCACCGGCGCCACGGCCGAGAGCATCCTCTTCCGCTACATCCCGTCCAACTGGCGCATCGAGTGCCGCGGCTACGACGGCGGCGACTGCCGCAACCGCCGTGCCACCATCCTCTCAGCCGGCGCCACCTCCGTCTGCATGCGCTCTGGCGGGTTCCTCTTCACCGGTGCGGGCTACGGCTTCGTGAACCGGAAGAGGGCACCTCAGGAGGCCGGCGAGGAGACGTGTGCTGCCGTAGCAGGTGAGGGGCAGGAGCAGAAGTGCGAGTCTAGCCAGGAGCCCGATACTCTGGTTCTTGTTGACGGATCCGAGTATAACCTTGTTGGTCTTGAGGCCGACAAGCTTGACAGACTGGTATGATACTTATACCCCAAGAGACCAACGATAGAGACACCGCTAACTCTCTTTTTAGTATGCGCTTCCACGAATCTTTTTTCTTACATTCTGAACAGCACACAGATGATCTGTTATTCCGTCTTTAATCCTTCAAGCATAGAATGCTGTTACTGACTGTTTCTTTGCTCTCTAGCTTCACCATTGCAGCCGATCCCAAAGTCACTTCTGCCGCCGATATTCCTGACGAGTTCACGCCTCTGCGAAAGTAAAGAACGTATGAATCAACCGGCAACTACATATGTGGTGCCCTAGGCGCTGACGCTGGTGAGATGGAGGGTTCAAAAAAAGGCAGGTGATGATGGTTGGTATCCCCAGCTGGAGATGTTAACTTGGCTGATTGGAGGGACGTGTGCTTGTTGGATTTCTCTTCTTTCTGTCAGCTGAAAGGTCATGTCTTTCTTCTTTATGCTCTCAACATCGTTGAGTAGCATTGTCCACTCCTTGACTGAGAGGGCTCTGGCGCCGGATGTCCCTTTTAGACCAAAAGAATGACACGTATTTTACTGATGAAGGCCAATTGCTTATGATTGTGAAATACAAAATTTCAGCAATTCCTCCTATTGAAGATATTGTGTGTCTGGAGTTAAAGTTGGTAGGAAGCCGCTCTGTTTGCCGTATTTAGTAGAGCAGCTAATTGAGGAACGTTAGACAAACTGACTTGTTATGTAGCAAGGAGTGGGCGAATTTGTTAGGGGAAGCCAGAAATCGCTGGCTGATGGCTGGAAACAGGTATAGGCTGATACGCGACGTAGTGCGTTGCTCTAGGGGTACCAGAACGAGTGGGCATTAAGTAAAGCAAGTTTGGCCAGGGCAATTTCCATGCTCAAAGTGAATGTTATTAGAAAAGGCAAATGAGATTAGGTTGAGGTGTCATCAAGGTATCTGGTGTGATCAATTGCTTCTCAGCTTCTAATAGTTTTGACGCCTCTATTCCAGGCCCACCCACGTCTACACCGCAATCAAGCCAGGTAGCCGTAATGTACATGATCATCAAGCCTGGATTTCCCCTTTTACTTTTTGTTTTTGATTTCGTGACTCATATTCCCCTCCTTATCTGGTAAGGGCGATGTCGTCTATTCTGAGAATCATCTTCACCGTCTCAGCGGCCAACTCAATGGCGCTGGTGCTCACCAACAGAGGCTGGAGGACGTTCTCCTTAGAAATGTTGGTGTTGACACCGCCGGACTTGATACTGACACCTGCATTCTTCTCACCGAGCTCATGTCTGTGACGAAGCTCGGTGACGACCTTGATGCTGTTAAGTCCGGCATTCTCGGCCAGAGTGGTGGGGACAACCTCCAGAGCGTCGGCAAATGCCTTCCAGCAAATGGCCTCGGTACCCGTCAATTCACGCGCGCGCTTGGAGAGCTGAGACGCGATCTCGATCTCAGCAGCACCACCACCGGCGATCAAAGCCTTCTTCTTCACCAAGCAGCGAACAACGCAGTGGGCGTCGTGCAAACTGCGCTCGGCCTCGTCAAGGATGAGAGAGTTGGCGCCGCGAACAACGACGGAGACAGTCTTGCCAGTGGCCTTGGCGCCGGTCACCTTGACCATGCGAGCTCCGTTGGACTGAACCTCCTCGACGAGATCAGCTGAGCCGAGCTTGTCCTCTGTGAACGAGTCGACGTCGGCAATGGGCTTGCAGCCGGTAGACTTGCAGATGAACTCGATCTCATCACGCTCGATATCCTTCACAGCAAGAATGCCAAGCTTGGCGAGGAAGTGCAGGGACAAGTCGTTGACAGCATCGCGAAGAATGGACTTCTGGATGAAAAGAACGTTGCACTTGGCCTTCTTGATCTTCTTGACCATGTTAAGAAGGTAGAGACGCTCCTCCTTAACGATCTTGTCCATCTGTCTGTAGTCGTTCACTTGGATAGTGTTTTCCATCTGTATTGGTCAGCAACCGCAAAAAAGGGGCATCTGAGGGGTAACCTTACGTCGGGCTTGGGAGGGCTGAGCTGGAACTGAATAAGACCGATTCTGGCCTTCTCGATTCTTGCGGGACCACCGGCACCCTTGAGAACAGGCTGCGTCAAGATCAAGCCATCCGAGAGCTCACTGTCCTCGATGGTTCCGCCAACCTTCTTGACGATTCTAATGTTCTTCAGGTCGACGTTGTCTGCCGTCTTGAGGTCGATGGTCTTGACAACGGAGTTGACGGCCATGGGGCCGAGGATGTTGGAGTATTGCGACACAATCTTGGAGGAAAGAGATGTGTTGGCTGCCTGAAGCAAGGATGCTGTGTCGGTGAGGGAAATGGGTTGTGACATGTCGTGGAGAACCTCGACAGCTGCGGCAGCAGCTCTCTGGAAAGCCTCTGAGATGACGGAGGGGTGAATTCCTTTTGACAGCAGTCTGTCGGCGGCACCGAGCAAGCTGCCGCAAATGACAACCACGGATGTTGTGCCGTCTCCCGCCTCCACGTCCTGTGCCGCCGAAAGGTTGACCAACATCTTTGCTGTCGGGTGCATGACAGACATGCTCTTCAACATTGTGTTGCCGTCGTTGGTAATGATCGTCTCGCCCTTCCCACTTCGAATCATCTTGTCCATGCCGCGGGGGCCCAGAGAGGTTCGGATCGCATCGGCGACGGCTAGCAGTCAGGTCGAGTCAGTTGATGATCTGGGAAGCTTGCAGGTCTGTTCCTCTTGCTCACCTCTAGCAGCAACAATGTTGGAGGAGCGGACGGCGACGGGCTTCTCCTTGTCCTGTAGGTGAAGTATTAGCAATAAGCTCCCCCTCTAGAAGCTTCACTATGAGTGCGCAGTTCGCACCTTGAAAGTAGCATTGCCAGAGCCTCCTCCGGCCTGGGCTGGTGCAGTAGTGGCCATTTTGACAGAACTGGTTTGTGTTGTGCTTGTTATCGAGAACTCGGGGTCGGAAAGACAAGCTAAACACGGGGTGCAAAGGTATCGGTATCGTCGAGGGCCTGTCCCGCTGTCGCCTTCTTTTGCGATCGCCCACTTTCTCTCAGGTAGCAACCCCCCCAGCGGCGGTGGGATATTTTTTAGCGGCCGTCAGGTTGTTCCTGCCCCGGTACTTCCAGGTACCCTGTGTGCCTGCTACCTAAGCCGGGCCGTCAGTTCTGTTTGCATTTTGCCTACACCGGGCCTAGCTCCACAGCAGCCTCGCATTTGTGGCCCGTGCTTTGGAGCTCAAGGCAACCTGGATTACGGAACCGTCTTCCATCACCACCTCCATCCCACGATTCCCACCCCCAGCATCATACTCATTGACGACCAACGCGACCACTCTTCGAAACCCTGCGATCCCATTCCGACGAACCATCCAAAACGAAGATTTCACGAACCTACCCCATCCATAATATTCGGCAGTAGGACGTTCAGTCCTCATCCTACATCATGGTATGGACCCTGCGTGTCCACTCCCCTCGATAGCAGTGTTAACTCGGGCATCATTAGCCTTCCGCTACCGGCCAGAACTGGGAGAAATACCAGAAGACCTACGCAGACGATGAGGTCGAAGAGAAGAAGATCACACCGCTTACCGATGAGTCCGTCCACCCCACCAACTTCGAGTTACGATCAATTGTTGACTAACAATACCCAGAGATATCCAAGTGCTCAAGACCTACGGTGCCGCCCCGTACGGCGCTGCCATCAAGAAGCTTGAGCAACAGATCAAGGAGAAGCAAACGAGTGTAGACGAGAAGATTGGCGTCAAGGTAGCTACATTTGTCCCTCCTTGGCTGATGCAACTCGGACTGACATGACCAGGAATCCGATACGGGTCTTGCCCCTCCTCACCTTTGGGACGTAGCAGCAGACCGACAACGCATGTCGGAAGAACAACCTCTCCAGGTCGCCCGGTGTACAAAGATCATCCCCGACGAGAAGGACGACTCCAAGAGCAAATATGTCATCAACGTCAAGCAGATTGCCAAATTCGTCGTGCAGCTCGGCGAGAGAGTGAGCCCTACGGATATCGAAGAGGGCATGCGAGTGGGTGTCGATAGGAACAAGTACCAGATTCTTCTGCCGCTTCCGCCCAAGATCGACGCCAGTGTCACGATGATGACGGTCGAGGAGAAGCCCGATGTTACATACGGAGATGTTGGTGGTTCAAAGGAGCAGGTCGAGAAGTTGCGCGAAGTCGTCGAGATGCCCCTCTTGTCGCCAGAGCGGTTCGTCAACCTCGGTATCGACCCCCCGAAGGGTGCGCTGCTGTACGGACCCCCCGGTACCGGAAAGACCCTTTGCGCCCGAGCTGTCGCCAACAGAACAGACGCCACCTTCATCCGAGTCATCGGCAGTGAGTTGGTCCAGAAGTACGTCGGTGAGGGTGCAAGAATGGTGCGCGAGCTTTTCGAGATGGCGCGGACGAAGAAGGCCTGCATTATCTTCTTTGACGAAATTGACGCCATTGGTGGTGCCCGTTTCGATGACGGTGCCGGTGGAGACAACGAGGTTCAGAGAACTATGCTGGAGCTCATTACCCAGCTGGACGGTTTCGACGCTCGTGGCAACATCAAGGTCATGTTCGCGACCAACAGACCTTCCACTCTCGATCCCGCCCTGATGAGACCCGGCCGTATCGATCGTAAGATCGAATTCTCTCTGCCCGACCTCGAGGGTCGTGCCAACATTCTGCGTATTCACGCCAAGAGCATGTCCGTCGAGCGGGACATTCGGTGGGAGCTCATCTCGCGTCTGTGCCCCAACGCCACAGGTGCCGAGCTTCGCAGTGTCTGCACAGAGGCTGGTATGTTCGCCATCCGCGCCCGGAGAAAGGTGGCGACGGAGAAGGACTTCCTCAGCGCCGTGGACAAGGTCATCAAGGCCAACCTCAAGTTCAACTCGACGGCCAGCTACATGCAATACAACTAAGATGGGCAATTCAAGGGCTATGAGATGGAATGGAAGGGGGGGTCACGGAGTTTCGTCATGTCCTTTATTTCTAAAGGCTGTAAGAATAGGCAGGCTTCGGATCGGGGAAGGCTTCTAGAGGGCGTGATACCTTCCGAGAGAAAGGAGAAATAGATCATGCTTTTCATGTGCCAATTGCAGTTTCACAATGGCGCAATTTGCAAGTGACATGATGAGTCTGCCTGCCCGACCTAGGTATGCAGAGAGAAACGACAGCGCTTAACGTAACTTTTCATGTAGCAGGTCGGTTTGCTTAGAGAAACGTACCGCAAGTAAGGTGATATTATTAGACCGGCTCACTCACTGCCTGGTATTCTCAACCCCTGAAGCATAGAGGGTGGCTTTATTTGGCAAAATTGGTGGTATCGTTGGCCGTAGAATTACATTGAACTACAGCTAGACGAGGCACTCTCTCTCTCGCCTCTCCAGCCTACCTAACGTAGTGAGAATAAGGGGACGTGAGTATTTTTCAACCCATCCCTTGCTCTCGCTGTTCCTTGGTAACATCTCCTAGGTGGTCCTCCCATGCGCAAAAAGAAAAGTAACAACGTCCCATGCTGCCTCAGCATTGCCCAAACTTGCTCCATTACCAAATGAATATGCATGCCTTCATTAGCAGTGCCGTACGCTCAACCGTCTTCCGTGGGCGTTTTGACTGTCGAAAAAGAACCTCCTTGAACGCTATGATTTAAAACCAAAAAAAAAAAAAAAGGAGAAATATTGCCCTCAGACAGGGCGTTACAGTCCACCTTAGACTGACTCCATGCGTGAGAGGCAGCCCAGGCAAACAATATCGCCCTCGGAACCCTTCTCGATGCAACAGCGACTGCAGACCATCTGCCTATGACCGCCGCCCGTCCAACCGTTGTGCCGAGTTGCTCGGCCGGTTCTCTTTGCCTCCTCCTCTTCTCTTGATTGCCGTTGCCTGTCGTCATCCACATCATCCATGGTACATGACCGTGAGAGGTCGAGTCCGTCTTGCCCCTGGTCCTGTTGCGTGCTGTTTACGCCGCCGTTGCTGCTTGGTCGTCCGTCCTTTTCCCAGCCCTGGCATTCTCGGACGCAGATATAGCATGATCGTTGCCCACAGCCCTGGCAGTCTGCAAATGAGTCGAGGTCTGATTTCTTGGTAGGGCGGCGGTGGCAGATGTGGCAGGGTGCCAAGGATGAGGGCGTCTTGGGTCTATTGCCAGCTGCATCCGCCTGGTTCTGCGCTGCATGGGAGGTGTGGCGAGACTCTGTCGACGACCTACTATCCCGCCTTTGCTGTGAATCATGTTGTGATGTAGTACCGCCATTCAAGCTACCCAGCTCCCCACTATCATTGTCATCGTCGTCGTCAAACATGCGCTGTCGCTTGGATACAGGAAGCGGCGCTATTTTCCGAGGAACCGAGTCGATGTTCTGGCGTGATGCCTCGGCGGAGGCAGCGATGTCATGGGAGAATCCAAACTCATATCTCAACCGTTCATTATTAGTGGAAGGGAAGCGAGGGAAGTTGCCTCCCAGGTGCTGCTGCTGCTGCTGCTGTTGAATCTGCTGTTGAATAGGCCTGCCTCCAAAAACGCCGTCAGCGTTCCAGTTTTTCGTTGCAGCCTGATACTGGGCGAGTTTCTCGTACAGGGGGCCTGGCAAATGCAGGTCGTTGCTGTTGGCGTCGTTGACGTCTCGTCTGCGCTTTCTGCCAGACGCCATCGCCATCAGCCGTGGATACTCCTCGGCGACGGATGGCATTTGGGTCTCTGGTTTGTATGGTTCGATTTAAGCAGAGTTTGTTGTAATTCGTGTACGGTATGAAGCCCGTTGATCGATGCAAAAGGTTTTCTTGTCGTCGAAAGGGGGCGAGAAACCAGGCGTTGGTGTTGATTGAATTCGTGGTCGGCAAGGCGAGGTTCGCTGATAAGGTTCCTCGTAGATTTCTCTTGTCGATAAGAGGAATCGAATGGAAAGGGTATGAAGGCGACGAAACAAACCGTTGAGGGCTTGCTTCTGGTCAAAGATGGAGAGTAAAAGAGCTCACAAGAAGAGGGAGGACTTGATGACGAGTGAAGTACGCTCTTTCCCACTCGCTTTTCTTGACTCGGCAGCTCCTTCGTTGGAGGAGGGGGGAAGGGAAGGTGGTGGTGGTAGTGGTGGTGTTGCTAGTTAGCTGCAGGCACATACGTCCATGTGAGCAGGCTCTGGCAGGACTGGCAGTGGACGGCAGGGTGGTTTTGAGGTGGCACTGATGGCCAGGCCCCGGCTCGGAGCTTTTAGGCCTGACGGAAGTTGCCCAGTTTAATGAGGTGAAGTGGACACTAACGGGCGATGAAGGGAACAGAGGATTGGTCGACGTCGTGCTTTCCACCCTTGGCTGCTTGTGTTCTGTCAGCGCAGTCATCTCAGCGGACTCAGCGCTGGATCCAACTGTTCAGAAAGCGCGCCGTCCGCTGGAAAACCGATCGTTTCCTTCCAGCCTCTGGAGCACGTTGCTGGAGCACCTCCAAAAGACCCACCAAGATTCGTGTCTTCCACCAATTGACAACCCCTGACTACCTGCCCAAGGTAGACGCAAACCCCGGCCATTCACTCCTCAGTCAATGTCGTTGCTCAGAAACTGGGTGGTCATCGGCGACAAATGACACTTTAGATGCCTGTAAAGTCACAGAACTTTGTGCGCGAGCTAGGGGTCCGGAAGGAAGACATGAGATGAAACATCTTTCTCATTATTTACCAAACAACAAAAAACAAAATTATAAAAATGGGTACGGACATGCATCCTCGCATTGTTTTGTCAACCTACAAATAAGTAAGGTGCAACTGCGTTTCGGCGAATCAATGGCCGAGGGTACGCATATTAAAGACACCGTTGAATCCGGCAGCCGATGATTGCATCCAGTATCAACCGGTAGTACTCCGTATACTCAGCTCTGTCTTCATGACTCCGCGCCTGGCGACATGTTTCCCATTGACGGCACGAAGTAAACTAATCTTCCTCATTTCATGACTGCAGCTTGATGGTCAGGTCGTGGTAGTACTTTGCTGCGTGGAACATCACTTTGATATGTTTGGCGCATAAAATTCTAATCTTGTCTTGTCATTATCAAGGAGTCAGGTATTGAAAAAGGACCATCTGATTTACACTCTATCGCTCCCCATATTGCTCCCAACGATGAATCTCGTCTCTGCCGCCTCCACTAACAAAGGAGCTGTTTTAGAGAGCCTAGTATAACATACACAGAGACAACCGAAATGTTGCCATGCTAATTTAGTGGCGAACCTTGGTGTCCTTGGGAGGGTCGTACGCGAGCTTTCTCGACTTGAGCCAGGCCCACTTGTACTTCTTGACCCAGACGCTGAGGGCCCAGAGGGAGGCCGAAACAACGAGAACCTTCATACCCATGCGCTTGCGGTCGTCCATCTCGGGCTCAGCGGCCCAGTTGAGGAACTCGACAACGTCCTTGGCCATCTGCGAGGTGGAAGCGGGAGTGCCGTCCTCGTACTCGACGAGGTCCTCGTAAAGGACACGGGCCATGGCGATACCGGTACCGGGGAAGTAGGGGTTGAAGTTCATGCCGGGAGCGACGACGGCGCCCGCGGGGGGCTCCTCGGGGTAACCGGTCAACAAGCTGAAGATGTAGTTGCAGCCACCGTGGCGGGCCTTGACGATCAAGCTCAGGTCGGGGGGGAGGGCACCGTTGTTGGCGAAACGGGCAGCCTCCTCGTTCTTGTAGGGGTCGGGCATGTAGTCGGAGAGCTTGCCGGGGCGCATCTCGATGTCACCCTGCTCGTTAGGCTCACCGGGGTACTCGTTCTCCTCGGCCATGGCCTTGGCCTCGTCGACGGTCAAGACGGTACCGACGAGAGTTCGGTAGGGGACACGGCTGAGAGAGTGGCAAGAGGCGCAAACCTCGCGGTAGACCTGGAAACCACGGCGGAGACTGCAATTCAATGTAAGCGTCATACATCTCCGATGGCCGAAAAAAATCGACGTGGTGTTCTGCTTACGCCTGGTGGTCAAAGGTCTTGAACCATTGCTCGTGAACCCAAGGGTAGTTGGTAGGGTGAAGACTGGAAGATGATAATTTAGCTCAATGATCGATTGCTGTCGGTCGGCCCCGGTTCCAATGTCGATTATGCCTCAACCCAAGGGATTCGGCGGCATTCGAGCAATTGTCCCTCAGCGACCGCATACGGATAGGCAAAAGACTCACCCCTCCTCAGCCGGTGCGGCAGCGTTGGCGGAAGGTCCGTAGAGGTGATAGTACCAGGCCATGGAGCCCAAGGCGAGAGACGTCGACGTGACGGCGGCGAGGTTCAATCTAGAGGAAGCTTCGGCACCAGCGCCGCTGGAAGTAGAGGCGGCACGCTGTATCAATCATCGTCAGCAAATTTGCCCCAGGGTCCTTGATGTCCATTGATGTCCGTCGATGGCCATTGAGACCTGGCTCGGGCGTGTTCGTAGGCGGTCGGTCGGATTGCCTCGGGAATTTCGACTCGTGATCAGCTCATCTGCGTACCTTTGAAATCGTGACAGCGCCATTTGTGAAAGTGCGCGCCGAGCGCAAGCAGGACCTTGCCAACATGATGGGCGAGCCGTATCCGCAGCTACAGAGACAGCCGCGAACAGATTGATGGGGCAATTGGTGGGAGGTCGTCTCGTGGCGGAGATCGGTTCTATGGTACAGCAGTCGAGGCAGGAGAAAATCGCTTGAGGCAGTTTTCGAGTGCCTTAGGTATGGGACGTCCCTGATTGGCTGATGGGCACGGTCAATGACATCTTCCGTTCCGGCGACTTTTCGCTTCCTTCCTCTTACCCGTAGTTGCCCGGTTGCACTCAATTGACCACACGTATTTCCGATCGCCCGTCTCACCCAGGTGAATCCAACAGCTGGCGTCTGCCAACCCTCGGACTGAGAAATGTCGCCCCCATGATTGGCCTGACTTGGATGCAACTGCAGCGATCTGCCTCATGCATCACAACACGACATTGGACGATGAAATAGTTATTTCAAACAAAACCCCCTACCTTGATCTGAAGGCGCGACAAAATTCGAGCAACATTTTTAGCACCTTAGCACCTAAATGCATTGAGCTCCGAAGTCTTCGGCAGCTCATCATGAGAAACACCGAAATGATGATGACAAGGTAGCAAAAGAGTTGGGTATCAGGTGGATTTATTCGACAAAACTACAAAACTTTTTAACCTCGCCGGACCGGATATAGCTCCCGCAATCCACGGCGGGCAGCTATCGGTATATGCACACTTTTCTCCCTTCGCTAAGTCGACAGCCACGCCTTGTAGCTAGTCTGTATCCCATAGAACTCACTACCGTTGCACAAAGTCATTAGGTTCGAAACTAGCTACTCAAGCACCGTTCTTGCTGATGAGTTCGCGGCGCTGCTTCACTGCGTTGGCCAGTTGGTCGAGCACAGAGATGGTGTCATCCCAGTGGATGCATGCGTCTGTGATGCTGACTCCGTACTTCAGGCCCTCCTTGCCCTCCTTCGGCACCTTTTGGTTGCCTATTGGGAAATTAGCATCTGCAATCACATGCAATGATCTAGACAGGTACTTACCCTCATTGATGTTGCTCTCAATCATGACACCCATGATGCCAGTCTCGCCGCCGGCAATCTGGCCAGCGAGGTCGGCAGCAACCTTGGGCTGGTTCTTGTGATTCTTCAGAGAGTTGCCGTGGGAGCAGTCGACCATGAGTCTTTGGGGAAGACCGGCCTTCTCCAAGGCAGCCTTGGCCTCAGCAATGCTCTTGGCATCGTAGTTGGTGCCGCGAGTACCACCTCTGAGAATGGTGAAGCAGTCCTCGTTGCCCAGGGTACCGACGACGGCCACGACGCCGGGCTTGGTAACGGAAAGGAAGTGGTGAGGGTGTCTGACGGCGCCAATGGCATCAATGGAGACGCCGAGCGAGCCGTCGGTGCCGTTCTTGAATCCAACGGGGAAACTGAGACCGCTCGCAAGCTCTCGGTGCAGCTGACTCTCGGTGGTTCTCGCGCCGACAGCGCCGACGGACAGCAGATCGGCAAGGAACTGGGGTGAAATGGTATCGAGCATCTCGCTGGCAATGGGCATGCCCTTGTCGGTAAGGTCGACGAAGAGCTGTCTCGACAGGCGCAGACCCTTGTTAATCTTGAAGCTGTTGTCGATATCCGGGTCGTTGATCAATCCCTTCCATCCGACCGTCGTGCGGGGCTTCTCGAGGTAGGAGCGCATCACGATGAGGAGCTCGTCCTTGTGCTTCTCCTTCTCTTGCAGCAACATATCGCAGTACTCGAGAGCAGCTTTGGGGTCGTGGATGGAGCAAGGGCCAATGATGACCAGTAGTCTCTCCTTCTTGTCGGTACCATTGACGATAGCGACGGACTCGTCACGGCCCTCGATCACAGTTTGCTTCGACTTGGGGGTTTGGGCAATCTCATGTTGGAGCAGATCGGGCGACGTCAGCGGGTTGTAACCGCGAACTACGACATCAATTAGCTTGGCTTGATGACCGAGAAAGGATCAATGCAGTCTGTACTTCTCCAATCTTCGCTCTCGGCCTTGTTGCCGACATTTTTGTTCTCGATGAAGAAGCTCTGCAATAGAGTGGTGAGTCACAGGTGTTGTACTTGCGCGCGGTGGCCGGGGGGGTCGCGAGAGCTGACTTACAGACATGGTGGCGGCGAGGAACTTCAAAAGCAAGATGCAATTGGACGCTGAATGCTTAGTGAATGCTGGACGAGTCGATTGAAAGGAACACCGAGATAGTTGACAAGTGAAAAAAGTGCAATTGAAAGAGAAAAATAGACTTTTTTTTTCTCTTCTGGATTTGTAGGTTGCTGTGTCCAAAGGAGGGCAGCTTCGAGAGGACTGGAATACCTTACATCAGACCTGAGCACAAATGGGCGAAGACTCATTCGTCCCCTTGCCCAGTGCCACCCCGGCCAGCAGTACCCCGCCGAAGACGGACCCAGAAAAAAGTTGAACACCACCTTGGCTACCACTACCACCACCAACCTACTGCGTAACCTCAAGTCAGGGCCGCCCGCCCATGCAAGCGCAGGCAAACTTGCCACCAGTGAACCAATGGACCAACAGTGAGGGGTATCCTTGCCGCGTCTTTCTCGCTGAATTATGACCGTGACGTGAGGGTTGCCCCCTGTGGATCTGTCCAGCCGGCCTCAAATGGCGCCACAAGATGGGTCTCACCGCCTGCAAAATGCCCGCGACAGCACCGAAGAACGGGCATTTCCACTGCAGACTGCAGTCAGTGCTACGTCGACTTTGACAGACATTCCCGGAGGTGGGATGCCCTCGACTTCTTCTCCTCCAACCTATCGGTGACGAATATTTGGAGCACATGGTAAGGTATGGTACCTTGCTTCTATTCCGAAGGCGCCCTAGTTTGACATGTATCCTAACCACATTCAATCTATTACTCCAAATACTTCAAAATCTGTATCGAACATCACCGATGTCGCTTGGAACCCCACGAACCTTTAGCCAAAATCTACAACACACCACCTTCCACCAAAGTCTAGATCGTCTTTTTCAGGGGCTTGTAAGCCTCCTTCTCCATCTCCACATAGCCGTTAAATCGGCCATACACCCACTTCAAAAGACTGGTACTCGCGGTCATCAGTGCGGCTGAGAAAGTGAACAACCCCACGCGCTGTACGGTGTTGAGGACATCGAAAATAGGGTAAGGGTACCTGCATCTAGTTAGCGGGCTATACAATCGGTGGAATAGGGGAATCTTTTAATCTACCATCCGTTTCTGCTGAAGCACAGCTCGACCCAGCCCCAGTACAGGAAAGCAAAGATCATACTAATGGCCATGGCCGAGTACGCGCGAATCGTCCATGGCGGGCTGAACAGAATTAGGTCCAGAGACAGGACCACAGCAGGGACCAGATGGAATCCAACGTCCGGTAGCCAGTGAAGTTCGAATCCCTCGGGAATCAACAATCGCTTGTCGATGGAGCGGATTCCCCAGTACAAGATGCTGATGAGCACCTCAAGCGGTGCTGCCGTAGTCGACAGGGCGTTCTTTACAGCAAACAATGAAGGGCTGAGGGTAATATCGGCCAGCAGCCCTATCACAAACGTCACAAACGACAGAATCAGTCCGATGTTGGTGAGATGCTGGTAGTTTCCTCCGAAACCCATGGAGATGTCGTGAGTGAGTCCGTTCAGGAAGTTGAAGGATGCGATGAACGAAACGATGCCGGTGACGTGCAGCAACAGAGACGCTGTACGGGACGGCGACTGCAGCCGCTGTAACTGATGTTTGGCCATCTTAGTTTGTCTCGATGTTGGCAATGATGTTGCTTGTCCCACAGTTGTAGTTCTGGTGTAAGGTAGTTTGATGTAAAAGAGGGATGAGATGACACTTCCGCAACGAGACGGGCCCAAAGGAAAGGAATTGTTGAGGAACGGGAGGGAGAGAAATCCGAGGGATTGGGTCGTCGTATGTCGTTGATGCCTTGAGACGAAAACTTTATGAAGGTAACGTTTGCGACAAGAGTGACTTCTTATTTATTTGTCTTCCAAAAGGAAGAAAAAGCTGTTGCCGACTAATCAGGGTTCCAACTGATGCATCGTCAGGCTGACGGACCGCAGCAAGTTGCAACTGTCCGGTGCCTTCGGAAGGCTTCGTCATGAGGTCACTGATGGATCCCGGCGGCGCGGTGCCCCGTACCTGATCGCACCTCCAGTGTCACCAAAAGATCCACGCAGGCCCCTAACCTGGAATCCTGGATGCCCCATCGCAGCCCGCGGCATGTGTTGCCGGCCGCTAAAGCCAAACTAAGAAGAAGCTCACAGTGGGTCCAGTGCCGGCAGCAAGGCTGCTTTACGTTGGCTGCCACTTCCCCGGCACCCTCATCTGATTGGATCAATTGACATAGCTTCCTGCAAACCACCACAAGCTTCCTGGATTTCCATCTCAGCCTTACCACGCGACGAGCACTTGCACTCACGGTCACCACACTCGCCGTCGCTATATCGTGGACCTTGAGCAACGGAACCATGTCTGACGAAGACGCCAAAACCAATAAGCGAAGTCATGCGGACCTCGTTGCCCAAGATGACGGTAAGTATACACGATGTGACCTGGGACTCTGTTCTAGCGCTATTCTCCGACGAGGCTTTGACTAACGGCGTGACTAGACAGCTCTTCCGATGACGATATGGGCCCTCAGCTCCCCTCAGAAGCGCCAAAGAAGAAGAAGCGTCGCGTCCTGCCATACGAAAAGCTCTACATTGCTGCGCTGCCCAAATCGACCCGGTACTCCAAGTCTCTGATGCATAAGGAGCAGCTGTCTTTCGTGACAGTGACGCCTCTGACGGACTTCATTATTACCTCATCTGTCGACGGTGTCGTCAAGTTCTGGAAAAAGGTGGCCGAGGGAATAGAGTTTGTCAAGGAGTTCAAGGCACATGCGGACGAGATCAGGTCCGTCTCCGTCAGCCAGGACGGGAGAAGCTTTGCAACCGCCGGGGCAGACAAGACTGTCAAAATCTTCGATATCATTACGTTCGATCTTCTGGCGATGCTGAAGTTGACCTTTGTACCGAGATGTCTTTGCTGGGTCCACAACCGAGGGGCTTCGCTACCTCTTCTTGCGGTGTCCGAGGAAACCAATTCCAAAATCCACATTTTCGATGGCAGGGGAGAGAGGCAAGACCCGATTCACACGATCAAGACTCTACACAGAAGTCCAGTCTCAGTCATAGCTTTCAACAGTGCCTACGACTGCGTGCTGTCCGCGGACGAAAAGGGCATGCTGGAGTACTGGCGACCAAGCGGCGACTACGAGAAACCGGACAATGTATTCGAATTCAAAGCTTCAACAAATCTGTTCGACTTCAAGAAGGCGAAAGCAGTACCGACATCCATCACGATTTCACCAACAGGCAAGCAATTTGCCGCCTTCTCTCAGCCAGACAGGAAAATCCGAATCTTTGACTTTGCGTCTGGAAAGTTGTATCGAACATATGACGAATCTCTCCAAGTAATTGAGGATATGCAGCATGCTGGGTTAGCGTTGCAAAAGCTGGAGACCGTGGAATTTGGTCGCAGGTTCGCCGTCGAGCGAGAAATTGACTCGGCAGCGTACAGAGACAAGGCAAACGTCATTTTTGACGAGTCTGGTAACTTCATTCTTTACGGCTCAATATCAGGCGTCAAAGTCCTGAACACCTACACCAACCAGATTGTCAAGGTGTACGGTAAAGAAGAGAACTTCAGAGCCGTCAACCTGGCGATATACCAAGGTCAACCGCAGAAGAAGGGCATTACTACAGTCGAGATGGGTGCTTCTGCTAATCCCCTGCTCCAGGAGTCCGAGTCCAGAGACCCCATCTTGATAACGACAGGAGTCAACAAGCAGCGATTTTACATGTTCACCAATGACGAAGAAATCTCAAAGTCGGTGCGAGACGTCCAAAATGAGAAGCCTACAATGCTTGGCCAGAAGAAGGCAGAAGAGGCCAAGAAGGCAGAGACTGGTACCGCCGCCGTAATCCACACCAACTACGGCGACATCCACATTCGTCTCTTCCCCGATGCGGCACCCAAGGCTGTTGAGAACTTTGTCACCCACTCAAAGAGTGGCTACTATAACAACACAATCTTCCACCGTGTGATTCGCAAGTTCATGATCCAAGGTGGAGATCCACTCGGCGACGGCACGGGTGGCGAGAGTATATGGGGAAAGGAATTCGCAGATGAATTCAGCAGTCTGAAGCACGACAAGCCATACACAGTCAGCATGGCTAATGCAGGCCCAAACACCAATGGTAGTCAGTTCTTTATCACAACGGAAAAGACGGTGAGTACAACCCAACTCGGCGACTTAGATATAATGCAGCCCTAACAGTCACAAACAGCCTTGGCTGGACGGGAAGCACACCATTTTCGGGCGAGCAACCCAAGGGTTCGACGTTGTCCATAAGATCGAGAATGCGCGGACGTATAAGGAGAAGCCAGAGGAGGACATCAAGATCCTCAACATCGACATCGTATAGCCCGTTCCGTCGAAAGACGCCAAGTAATGAAAGACATGAGACCAAACTGCTCGACATACCCCCACAGAAGGGCAAAAGTGAAATGGAGTGGAAAAAGCAATTCGATGATGCAGCATCCCCGCAAGCCTCGCAACTGATACCGACGGGCCTCACGATGCAGCTGCATATCAGCTCGAGTCCACTCAACTAAGTGAGGCTGTATGTTGTTCACGTGGACGCGAAAAGGCCAGCATTGGGCCGCTTACGATCCCGCAATCGGCGCTGCCATACCGCAACCCAATTCGGGCCCGATCTCGCCCGTCAGTGACACCCCGTACTTATAGACGACATTTGGGCGTACCTCATGTTCAACGGCGCGCACACTCGGTCTACGAAGTGGGCGACCCGGCCTTGTCGCAAGCGGTCTCAAACGTAGTCTACAACTTACCTTCAACGTTGATAGTGAAGACAGTGCGCTCAACCATCTCACAGATGGGAATTTCATAGACGCAGGCCTCCGGATTCCCTTCCTGCGCTGCATGTTCGCGTAGCATGAACTAGCCAATCAATCTGCCTCGACCCCGCCCCTTTCGGTTCGGCTCGTCCCTTTCTCATTGCCAGGATCGAGGTTTCTGGTCCGGCATGCCACGTCCGAATAAGCCAGGGGCGCCGGAGCCGAAACGTCGAAGCCGAAATGGTTGTTGGTAAGTTCACAACGCTCTGTAGCGTTGATGTATATGGCTTGCTTCCAGTCTAACTATCGTCTTCAACTGACTAACATGCCCGCCCATAGGCCGTGCAAAGCCCGGAAAGTGAAATGTGGTGAGGAACACCCAACGTGTATCAAGTTCGTTTTATCTGCATATAAGTGATGTTGGCTTTGAGACACTGTCTGCGTGAGAGACTACAATCGGTGGACGGCTAACGTACATACACAGTTGCCAACGGACTGGGGAGCCTTGCGATTATAGTGTACGACTAAATTGGGAGGGCCGTCGAACGAAGAGATCTCTTTCTTTGGGAACACATACAGGGATCACTCAGCCATCTAAAGACTCCTTCCGCACTGAGCAGCCGCCGTTCAATCATACGTTTACCGTTAGCAACCCGACTCAGGATGCTGATCCGAAGCCTTTAGCGAAACGCGTCCTCACTGCTCCCTTCAGCGTCGAGGCAGGGAAGAGAAAGCTTGAACAGCTAGAGACTCGTGATGACTCCTTGAGTCAATTTCAGAATACGTCCTCCCGATCGAGCCAGCACCAGAATGGTGCCCCATTTGCTCCGCCGCGCAGTGCACCAAACCACAATGCACGAGGCCACTCCTCCACATCAAGCCTCCGTCGAATCGTTCCCGCGACTGGAAATACTTCACAAAGATTACACAAGAGGCCCAAATCCCTCGCTGAGACAAAAAACCCGGATATGTTGAGCCAGTACGGCCCCATGTCTTCGCCAATTTCTCTAATCGGGAAAAGCCCTCCCACGTCTTTCCTAAGCTCGGGTGCTATCTCAACGTCGACCGGTACCCCCTTGACGCCCGTCTCGTTGGTGATCAAGTCTGACGATGAGACGAGATCGCCCGTCTTGAGCCTTCCTTCGCCGGCGTCTCCGGAAGATAGTCGACTGTCTGTGAACTATCTGCTCTCGAGTTCTCCCCGTGTTATACATGGTGTGAACAAGGGGTTAATACAACCATTTGGTCCGCCTCTGCTCAACTATGGATGCAAACAGGAGGTATCAGAAGAAGCTACATTTTACGGCTTCGATCTTGGCATTCCAGATGCTGACATTGCCCAGAATGATGACGCGGGATCCATATCTCCAACGGCATCTTCTACTAGACATTCTGGGCACTTCCTCCAAGCTTTGTGCGGTGGATCCTATTCTCAACAACCCGAGACCATTAATGGCACGATGCCAGGGGTCTGGTACTATGGCCAGCCTATTCCGATATGGATACCGCGAAGCATTGAGCCCATTCCTGCCAAGTGAGTCTCTAGTAGCATTGAACGGTTCAAGGCTGAACGATAGAAGGCTTCGAGAAAATCCCATGAATATTCTTGTAAGTCAGACTTTGGATCTCCAAGCAGATGTGTAAATGACACTGATGGCTTTGATAAACAGTACTTCGTAGGTAGCCAAGTACTCTCACTGCCCCCAGTTATGAATTAACGTCTGCACGACAGCATCACTTTTTGAACCATACGGCAAGGGGTAAGAGGTTCTATGCTGCCTTTTATCAAGCATACTGACTCAAAGTCAGTTCTTGTACCCTACGACGACCCCCGGTCCAACCCGTTTCGCACGATTCTGCCGCAGATGGCTGTCGGTAACGACCACCTACTCAGCTTACTCCTGGCCTACTCGGGTACTTATTTCTCCTGCGTGCTTCACCATCCTGATCTGACGACCTAGTCACAGCCGCCCATAGATCAAGACTTCTCGGAAAGAAGGAACCGCAGATGAGGATAGCAATCTGGGTGCAGGACATCTTTCCAGCTCTCCGGCAGGCCCTCAACGACAGGGACAAAATCATCTCAAACACGAGCCTCGCCACCGCCATCATGCTCGCCTCGCTGGAGATCATCTCGCCCACCGCGTTCGGGTACGACATTCCCTGGCAGCGGCACCTGAACCTGGCCCGGACGCTCATGTGGAGGCGGCTGGCGGACCTGCGCAGGACCACCGAGAACGGTCTGCGGGAGGACGGCGCGTGTGCCTTCCTGTGGAGCTGGTTCGCGTACTTGGACGTCTTGGGGAGCTTGAGCGGTGGCGGTGTGCCCGACGCGGATTCCTCGAGATTCTGGCTGCTCGAGTATACGGTCCACAATCCCGGCGACAGCCAGGATGAGATTGACTGCGTCATGGGCTTCACTACGCGCTGTGTCCAGATCCTCGCCCAGATCGCGGAGCTGGCACGCCGCTGCGACGAGCAGCGGTTTGCGCTGAACGGTACCTCGCCGCAACTTGTCTGGTATCCGAACGCGGATTCTGTCGAGCGGGCACAGTTGTTGGAGCAGGAGCTTTTGTACAGCATGGCGCAGCCGTCACGCCCGTGCAGACACATCACTACCATCAACACCCAGAGCCAGAGTCTAGGCCAGGACACCGGTGTCAAGATCGAAGGGCGGGATACCATGGGGGAGATCGTCCTTCTGAACGAGGCGTTCCACTGGGCTGGGCTTGTGCACCTACACAGGCGCATCCTGGGTAAGCCGCCCGGCCACGAGGACGTCCAGGGACCGGTGGGCAGGATCGTGGCGTGCTTGGAGGGTATTGCGCCTGGCGGATCGGCGGAGACGGGGTTCTTGTTTCCCATGTTCACGGCTGGGTGTCATGCGCTGGAGGGCCCGCAGAGGAGCAAGATATTGGAGAGATTTCGAAGCGTGGAGAGGAATGGGATGACGCAGGTATGTTCAAACTCAAGCTTGGCTAAGAATTCTGTCTTGTAACACTGGTTTCACGATTGGTGACTTGTGAGCTGACTTATTTTTCTGAACAGGTCTACAAGGCGAGAGTGCTCATGGAAAATGTATGGCTTACGGGGCAGCCGTGGGAGCCTTTGCTGTGTACGGAATTCGTTGGGTGACTTGAGCATCCCTCCTTCTTTTTCCTCGAGGACGGGAAAGGCCAGCAACCGGGAGTGCCGTGTTTGAAGGAAATTCAGTTGCCCTTTTAACTCGCGAACGAAGCATGGAGTTGGGTAAGAGATGTTGACAGGAGGCACATCAAGGAAGCATCATACGGGTACCAGCATTTTTCCATCTTCATGACATTTATGAGACCATGATTTGAATGAAACTTTTCATACTTAGCTTTGGGAGAGAAAGCTCGGGCTGGATATATAAGAGCTGGCAGCAATACACGTACCATGTCCTGATGTCACAAGTCTTTTCATTTTATTACAGTAATCAGTGATTTTCCCCAACAATGCAGCCTAGACCTTGATTTTGTTTCTTTACAGTTCAAGGATCCAGTGTGAGTACCCTGATACCATACCCGGCTGTCTTCCAAGGCCGAGACAAGGTTGAGAGAGCGAGTGATGGTGAGAAGTTGGGTCAAACACCGGGCAATGATCTCGGTTGAGGGAAGTTAGATACTCAAGACTCTCTGGTTTCCAACACAACGGCACTGACATGACATAAATAGACCCTCCACCGCCGCTGGGTTTCAATCACTACATCTCAGCACACCACTTACATAAATCTCCTAGATGTATCTTAGGACTAAACCAGAGCGAAAACGAGGATCATCAAAAGTCAACAACCCTGGAACAAGCTTTAAGGTCCAAAACAAGGAAAAGAGGGGAAAAAAAAAGATTTGCGTCAATCGCGGACGGGAATTGAGCCCGACGTGGCTGGTATATGTTAGTGATGCTATTCAGGTATAGTCTTCTTGGGGACAGGCAATGGCGCTTACGGGTCGAACCCACAACCTTGAGATTAAGAGTCTCACGCTCTACCGATTGAGCTAGCCGGGCAGGCTTTTAAAGATTGGTGATCGTGGACGGCGACGAGGCGGTTCATACCGGGTTGGATTTGTGAAATCTCCGTCGTGGGGTTTGTGGTGGATGAGGGTCTCCGAGGGCACGGAAGACCTGGTACGTAAAATGGGGCCCGGGGGTCCGCCGCGACTTACACGAATGACTCGGGAAGGATTGACGAAAGAACAGACAACAGTCACATAGAAGGGCACAGGGAAAAGAGTCGAGTCTGATTCCAAATTGTACAGTTTGTTTTGGGTCTGAAATTACTGCTATAAACCACCGAAATAAATATATCCCCCTTGTCCCAAAAATTGCAACAAAGGTCCGAAAGTCTTTGACCCTGTTCTTTGAGATTTCCCTCCTTTCCCAACGCCCAGAATGGTATATAAAAGTAGAATCCTGTCAAAAGAGAGAGAGGAAGAATGGCGTAAGGGGGTGGTAGGGGGTCTTGTGGTTGTTTACAAAGAAAAAGGATGAAAAAAGAAGCTGTTCCTTTTGGAACGCACACACGCAAGCTCTGACGTTCTTTCACTCGCCCTCATGATCATCACACCGTTTCTTTCTTTCCAACATCCCTCCTTTTGCTCGTCATTTTTTAGTCTTCCTTATCTTGCTTGGCCAAAGGAGTATTGGTGCGGCGGCGGGCTCTTGACAGGCGCATCGGCATAGGCGCCGGGGATGGGCACGGCGTCGTAAACGGGCTCGTCCGCGGCCATGGGGGCGTGTTGCTGAGCTTGAGGCTGCTCCTGGTGGAATGACGGCGCCTGCTGCTGCTGCTGCTGCTGGAAGGGGAATGCTGGACCGGGACCCTCGGGCGAAGTGGGTGTGTACGCCTCCTGTCCTGGCTTGGTCGCCGCGCGCGCCTTTGTCGGGGGCGCCTGGAGCTGGAAGGCGGGCTTGGGCTTGCCGAAGCTGGACTCGGGCTCGACGAAGCGGGTGCCGGGGGTGAAGGGGGAAGCGCCGGCCTCCTCGATGCGGGACAGGCTCTCGAACGTCTTGTCCGGGTGGCGAGGGGACAGGGCGTACTGGGAGTAGAGGCCGGGGGACTTGAGGCCGGGAGTGTTGGGGGCGGACTGGGAGCGGAGCTGAGCGAGGTAGAGGTCGGAGCGGGCGCGGTCGCGCATGTCCATGGACTTGTGGAGGCGGCGCTTGGTGTAGTAGCGGTAGAAGACGATGCTATAGAGCAGGACGCAGATGACGTCGATGACGATCTCGATGACCATGCAGATGAGGGCCCAGTTCTGGAGGCGGCAGATGAGTGCGTAGTCGACCTTTTCGCCAAAGACCTCGGCGCGCTTGTTCTCCTTGCACGACCAGCCCCACATGTCCTTGCCGCCGCCGTTGCTGCGGCTCGACTGGAAGAGGCCGGCGGCGATGGCCCACATGACCATAGAGAGGATGAACCAGCCGATGGCGAAGAGGGTGTAGTAGGTTGCTACCTTCTCGGCACGTTGATGGCCGCCGCGGCAGTAGGCGAGGAGGACACCGATACAGACAGCAAGGGAGATGGAAGACACTGTGAAGGTTGTTAGAATGGCAAACACTCAAGATCTGAAGCCTCGACTTACTAGTGATAACCAGGACCTGGGGCCAGATGGCGGTTCCTTCAGCCCATGAAGGCAGACCGCTCTGGGCAGGGAGACGCTTGGTAGCGTTGAAGATTTGGAAAGAGGCGGCAAGCATGGAGATGATGATCAAACTGCAGCTGAAGCTGACGCCACGAAGGGCGAACTTTGCCATACGGACGCGGGTCTTGATTTTCTACACAGTCAAAATTAGTATTATATAGCTTCAGTTAGACCAAGAGCACACATACCAAGTCGCGTGCTTGCTCCTTGTCGGTCGCTGCTTCACGCTTCTCCAAGATATCCTCCTCGCGGAAAGTCGGGCTGAGCGGGTTCTCAACAATCTTCCTCGCTGGTGTTCCGGGCACCCTCATGGCGCTCTTGAGCGGTGATCTGGGAGTCATGGGAACGGCGACGGACTCGCGGTTGCCGCCGCTGTTGTTGATGTAACCGAACCCGATATCCCCAGGCTGGGACTGGGGCACTTCTGATCTGACGGGATCTGCGAACGGTGACCGTACGCCGTCGACGGGAGAGTGAACTGATGTTGCCTCTGCGAAGCGAGGCGTGCGAGGAGGCTTGAGTGATGAGTCTGAGGAGGATGAGTCTGTGGATGCTGATCGGGCCGGGGCGAGGTTGAGGGCGGCAGGCCGCCTTCTATCTTCTGTCATGAAAGTATAAGCATACAGTCTTGAAGTCAATCACCAAACCTAGACAAGAGACATACCTTGGGAAGCCATGGCTTTGCTATGTGACTGTGTTCCGGACGACGAAAAAGGTGGCAGCAAGAGAAGCGTGTCTAGTATATAGGAAAGACACCCCTTAGACTTTGGGTCGCCAACAGGAAGACCGACTTCGGGACATGCAACAGGTTTCGGTGATCAAAGCAAGAATGAAGCACGATAGGAATCAGATTTCGGAGAGACCAGCTGTCGGAAGGGAGAAAACAGAGGTCCAACAACTCGGTCACTCGGGGGAGCAGGTAGTTTTGAATTGGCGCCGGCAACCTCGAACAGATGAGGGACCCAAGGCAGAGGCCCTCTCACGCACTGCAGGACCTGGACTGGACTGCATGGGGGCGGGCAGATCAGCAAGGTGTAAGTGGGACGAAGCGGAATGGGGGAATTCCTACATGTAGCGTGGGAGGGTAGGATGGCGCGAAGTCGAGCAGGGCTCTGATAGGTGAGAGGCCAAAGTTCCAGGCCGGCGATTCGGTCGTGATGGAAATAGACGCCCACGAGAGTGGACGAGGTGGCGCCGAGCTTTGGTTGGCTCAGTGGCAGGTGCTTCGAGACTCTCTCACTCACTCTGTACTTCAAAAGTCGCCTGTTCCTAGCTCACGGATCACTGATCCGAGCGGAGACTTTGATACTGGTGAGTTTCTTATTATATGAGTCGGCGGTTACTGGATATATCGGGATATGATGGGAGCGTGTAAAACGGTTGAACACTAGAGACGGATGTCCTACTCAGAGGCAGAGAGATGGAAGACGGAGAAGATCAAGGCACTGCGAGGAGGAGATTTGTCAAGCCAAGAGTTGCGCGCATTTCTCAACATCCAGACGAATATAGAATATTGGAAGCAACCCCCAAATAGGCATCCTCAAGAGAGGGGAAGAGAGGGAGATAGAGAGAGTAAGTGAGAGAGACAAGGACTCGGAGCATGCACACTCTTCCATCTCCCAGAGTGACCGGCCGGCCTTTCCAGCTTACAGACAGGATCAGATACCTACCTCCTCCCTTCTCTACCGGCCCTCGTGCCCTCCTCGCCTCGACAAAGGCTCACTGGGCTTGGCGGCATTTGTCGTAGCATCCGCATGGTTCGACGATGCACGTAAGGCCGGTGATTGGACATGGCTATCCAAATTGAGAGGAGGCAGGTGAAGTAGCAACGGCAGGACAAAGATGTGGTTGGACGGAAGTTTGGAAAGAGGAGAGAGGCTTGCGGCCACCCTTGCTCACGTCCACGGGTCTTTGATCAACCACCGGCGCCAACTCCTCTCCAAAATCGACATTCAACCTTCGAACCCTTGCTGCCGCCCGCCTCCCCCCTGTCGGACAGCTGCAGTTGTGATAGGCTCAGATGGTGCAGCCGCCTCCGAATGCCGCATGCTTGCACGTTGGCGCAACGGCCTGCGACCAATCAACGGCCGAAAGTGCGTGATGGTCTTCCAGCCACATGCAGGCTGGGCGGTAAGCAGAAGTCGGGGGAAATGGAGAATTGGGCGATTGAGCAAACACGGTAGCTATGGCGAGGTGGCATGGCGCGGCCTTTTTTTGGTGTATTCTTTTGTGCTCGAGTCACCCGAGTCTCTTAGTTCCTGCTTTTTTTCTTGTTCCTGGAACTGACAGGGAGTCGGACAATGAGCTTGATTTTTGACTTCCTTCTGGCGTGGTCATCGACCGCGGGCGCTAATGAAGCTCAAGGTGGGGTCTTTCAACTGCCTGTTCTCTTCAGAGGAAGTGTGTTTGCTCTCTCTCACCCATAGTCTTCGGTGAGGGTTCATACGTAGAGTGATGGAGCATGCAGGCTGTGCTGTAAGTTGCTCATTTGTGATATAGGTAGGCGTACGGAGTAGCAGTGATGTTCGCATCCTCGCCCCCTCGTCCGCTGTTACCGGGCCCAAAATCTCACGTTGGCCATCTTTCGCTTGCGTAACCGAGAATCGCAGAAGGAACCCGTAGATCCGTAAGCTTGACCGAAGTACTGGGACACAAGCAGGATCAGGAGCTCGCTGAGCCTTGACGTGCAATTGAGAGAAGGACTGCCGTGTAATCTCAGATGTGGCGACAAAGCAGAGGCAAAACTGGCTGAAGATGCTTCCTTCTCAATGAGTTCATTCCGAAGAGTTTCCTTTTTGAGAGAGCCATCAGCCCCGTCAGCGATCGTCCTTGTTGTGCATGTGGGTGGTGCGAAGGAGCTACAGCCAACACGGATAATTACAGAGGAAGGTAGTAAGTAAAATTACAGTAAGTAAGGCATGGCCCGTGTGCCGTCACTTTCCCTTCCCGCTGCTCGTCTAATAGCCAAGCGAACCAAGAAGGGTCGACTTCGTTATCCGTGCTGCCATGCTTTTAACCCTCCATCACAGAGTGTGATAGAGTAAGACTACAGAATGCAGTCAAGTTTAGCCCGCATTCCCAAACCTATTTTTAGGAGATGTGGCCAATAAGATCATGAGTGACAATGAGGTGGGTTACCTTGATTTACAGATACTCAGATAGGCACTTTGAGGTGGTGTCTGCCCAGCCTATTTTTACCCAACTTCTACGAGCCGTGACCTGGTGGATGTGACGAACCGCCGGGCATTTCGCTCCTTTGCGGCAAAGGAACGGCAATCTCGGTCTTGTACGGCGGAGCTCGAGTCCCGGATGACGGGATGCGGGATGGATGTCGGTATAAGTACTGTGAGTATGACCGGGCATCGGACTCCGAGAGGGATAACGTAGACCGGCTTGATGGTTTGGGGTTATTGAAGGGTCACGATTTGGAGAGTCGTCTTTCATAGCAAACATTTTGACCGATGAGGTACTGGCTTCATAGTTTCCCGTGGCCATAGTGACCTATCCACAGTCAATTATGACTACTGGTGGTCTGTAAGGAAATGAATTCACATTTGCGTATATTCAACAATTCCACTATTGCAATATTCAAGATACATATTACTATTATATTCTCATTCTAAGATAATCGTTGAGACCTGAGGTCACAGAATCTCTCGCAGTGTCACACAAACTCAGTCTAAATTGGCATGACGGACATTAACGTCAACTCTTGATGATGCTAGAGCATGTCAAGCCCATTTTACAAATTGGGACAATGAGTGCAACGGCTGTCCATTGACTTTGCAAGCATCAGTCTGTTAGTTGGAATTACGAATCTCGTGCCCTCCTTTCCCATGGTTGAGAATACTTGTGGTACTCCTACAAGATGATATAGGCCTTCAAACATGCGAACTTTTGCAGAATATCAAGAGGACATGTCGCACTTGTAAGTTTTGAGGTATGACTCATTTTGCATGATGCTATCCCCAACTTTGTTCTTTCCCCAGGCAGGAAAGGTACTAGGCGTGCTAGGTAAGGTAATGTAAGAGAGCAGAGGGCGGCAGGGTTGGGCGGGCAAAGGCCAGGCGGGGCACTTATCAGCTTATCAGTCCAAAACAGGTTAGTGTCGACTTTGACCACAGAATTCGAATCGACCCTCAGCGAGGTAAATTCCAGGTTGTTACTCATCGGAAGCAAATTTCGCGGATCAACCTCGACGTCACGAAACCCACGAACAAGAGGCCCCATCCTCCCTCTCCGGTACCGTCGAATACCTACACCTAATCACCTATTCACTCATCAGACGATCTAACTTCGAGAAAAAAGTCCGACGTCCCCCGACCCGTCACAAGTCAACCTAGACGAATTTACCCCGCCATCCACCCACACCCCGTCGCGACAATGTCTGCCAACGGCGATAACAAGTACGACGACATCGAGTCGGAGTCTGACTCTGGCGAGTCCGTCGAGGAGCAGACCGAGCTCAACGAGGAGAAGACTCTCAAGCCCGCCCTCAAGAAGTCCTCCAACCCCGTCACCGCCGACACCACAGTTCAGCGCCCTGCTCTGCCCCCGCAAACCGATCCCAAAGACCTCGACGTCAAGACCCTCAGCCCCCTCACCCCCGAGATTATCGCTCGCCAAGCAACAATCAACATCGGTACCATTGGCCATGTCGCTCACGGAAAGTCTACCGTCGTCAAGGCCATCTCCGGCGTCCAGACCGTTCGTTTCAAGAACGAGCTGATCCGTAACATTACCATCAAGCTTGGTTACGCCAACGCAAAGATCTACCAGTGCGACAACCAGGAGTGCCCTCGGCCGGGATGCTTCAGGAGTTACAAGAGTGAGAAGGAGGTCGACCCCCCTTGCGAGCGCGAGGGCTGCAGCGGTACCTACAGATTATTGCGCCACGTTTCGTAAGTAGCTGAAGCTTAGAGAGAGAGAGAGAGAGCTCTTACCCCGAATCGTGAATCGCATGGACTCGTGGCTAATACTATATCTCCACTTAGCTTCGTCGACTGCCCCGGTCACGACATTCTCATGAGCACCATGTTGTCAGGTGCCGCCGTCATGGACGCCGCCCTGTTGCTCATTGCCGGCAACGAAACCTGCCCCCAGCCCCAGACCTCTGAGCACTTGGCTGCCATTGAGATTATGAAGCTGGACAAGATCATTATCCTCCAGAACAAGGTCGATCTTATGCGCGAGGAGGCCGCTCAGCAACACTACCAGTCCATCCTGAAGTTCATCAGAGGTACCGTTGCCGGAAAGTCTCCCGTCATCCCCATCTCTGCCCAGCTCAAGTTCAACATCGACGCCGTCAACGAGGCCATCGTCAACACCATCCCCGTGCCCCCTCGTGACTTCACCCAGGACCCCCACATGATCGTCATTCGATCCTTCGACGTCAACAAGCCCGGTGCTGAGATTGACGATCTCAAGGGAGGTGTTGCTGGTGGTTCCATTCTGCACGGTGTCCTCAAGCTCGGCGACGAGATTGAGATCCGTCCCGGTATCGTCACGAGAGACGACAAGGGTGCCCTCAAGTGCACTCCCATCTTCAGCAGAATCGTCTCCCTCAACTCCGAGTTCAACGACCTCAAGTACGCCGTCCCCGGTGGTCTCATCGGTGTCGGTACCCGCATCGACCCCACCCTCTGCAGAGCCGATCGTCTCGTCGGTTTCGTCCTGGGTCTCAAGGGACGCCTGCCCGAGATCTACAGCGAGATCGAGGTCAACTTCTACCTCCTGCGCCGTCTCCTCGGTGTCCGCACCGCCGACGGCAAGCAGGCCAAGGTCGCCAAGCTCACCAAGAACGAGGTCATCATGGTCAACATTGGTTCCACGTCCACCGGTGCCAAGGTTGCCGCCATCAAGAACGATGCCGCCAAGCTCGTCCTCACCTCCCCTGCCTGCACAAACATTGGCGAGAAAGTCGCTCTGTCCCGTCGTATTGAGAAGCATTGGCGTCTGATTGGTTGGGCCACCATCGCTGCGTAAGTTTATACATCCATTGTTCATGTAATCAAGTTGCAAAAGAAAGCTGACGTTTCTACAGTGGTGTCACTCTCGAGCCCAGCTCGTCTTAAATCGACAACTGCCGAAAATCAGACCAAAAAACACAAAGTCTTGGAAGCCCATTCTTCAGCATCACAGGAGTCTAAAAAACAACCAGTTAGTCTGGTAGAGAGCCAAATGGGAGGGCGGGGGCGCGCGGATCCGGCAAAGTTTTTGAGTACCAGGCGGGTAATGAATGCACATGAACAAGGTTACCAACTTACCGCGTAAATTCAAAATGACCAGAAGAGAGAGACACTCGAAATTCGCGAAATTTGAAGGTCCAGAGATTCAGGGTCCCATTTGATGGCGGAGAATTCGCGAGGGAAAGAAAAACACAACGTACAAGGAAAAGCTAGACGGTGTATGCTGATAGATAGGCCTGGACGATGAATGAGCCCCCTTTTAACTTTTCTATTAGTTTTCTATTTCCTGACTTTGCGTGCATGCTTGACCAGGTTTTCTATCACGCCTTCAAAGGCCTCTCTGTCGCCGATCTTTTCGTCCGTCTTCTTGGTCCAGTACTCCAATACCTCCTTGGCCGTTCCCTCCATCGCCTTTAGCCTATCCACGTGCGCCTTGAGCTCGTCATC